AAACTTATGTAGCGTCTCCAACTGCAAAAGTCCAGATGGCGCTCACCTCATTGCTGTCCTATTAAAAGGAAAATTAAATCTGTCAAAGTTTTTTATGTCCTTTAATTAAAGAAAACGACACAAAGTTGTGCGTGTAACAAAACTATCCTGCTGGACTTCATCAATGTCACCAAGTTTGGAGTCAATGCTTAAAAAGGACATTTTTCAAACTTCCACCTCTTCGTACTCAAGTTGAATCTTGAGTCCCAAACAAGAGTCAAGTCTTGAGATTCACAAGTTAGGTCCAAGCACAGTCTCAAACCCTAAATCGTAGTCAGGTCTCCCATTCCAAATTCTGAGTTTCAAGCCTCAAGATTAGTCTAATCTTAAGTCCCAAGTCAGAAAACACTAATATCACAATTCTAAGTCTTGATTTTTATGAAATCCTCAAAACTCACACCTTGAGGCTCATTACTTTCCTTCATCTTGTTTTGATCTAGCGACAATACTGTTGCTGATCTAGCCACTGTTGGCCTGATTGTTGAATAACTATAACACTGATCAATAAACGACAGCATCCATTATTAGTGCTGCACACTGTGCCGTCTACTTTCTTCTTCTGGAAATGCAGGTCTCTTTGGTCGCCAACTGAACAACCATAAAATCAAAAAACCAAAAGTATTTAAGCAAAAACAAAAGCAAGCAACATGACATTATGTGTGAATGTATCCAAAGAGGCAACATGAGGAAATCTGCAACGATGGTCTCTAACTCCAGTCCTCCAGGACGGGTATCTTGCATGTTTTAGACCAGCGGTTTTTAACCATTTTTGAGGTACTGAACCCACCGATTTCATATGCGCATTCACTGAACCCTTCTTTTGTGATAAATAAAATATGATTTTTTTTTCCAAATTCAAGACATGCTTTTTTCACAGGTGCACAAAATGAGTGATGCATGAACATCACCTTGCTCAAAGAATAAAACCAACACAGTGCATGAACTCACAACAAATTACGGTATTACTTTATTCTGGTCCCCCAAAATATTTTTTTGTTTGCTATTTTACTAATAAAAATGAATTTGGATTTTTTTTTTAAAAATTTCTTTTTTTTCAATTTATTATTTTTTTCTCCGTTTGAATCCACAAAATACAGTTTTACTTTTCCCCGTCTCCATGCAGCTTCAAGAAGCGTTCCCTCAGTTTTGCTCGACATGTTTAGTATGGATGAAAATATTGAGAAAGAAACCACACAACGTACAACTACGACAGCCGTCGACTGCTGCTTGCAGGACTGATTGGCCAAGCAAGTATGTCTTTACTTTCGCAGCAACTCACTGAACCCCAGGGTTTAGATCAAAACCAGGTTAAGAACCACTGTTTTAGACGAGTCTCTGCATTTTAAGTTTCGCGTTGGTCTGGTAATCAATCATTCCTTTGATTCATGCGAATTCAACCAGCAAAACCTTTAAACCATGCAGCCCTTTAACACCAACACTGAACACCACTTATCTGTAAGGAGCCGCAGATGCAACAACTGCATTATTCTTCTTCTGCTTCTCGACTCAAGGGAGGAATGAAAAAATCTAACTTTAAATCCTACATCACCTCAAAGGCTTAAGTTCGGTTCTCTATTTATTGTTCAAAAAGCATTATGTAATTAACCGTTGTTTTGTAGTAGTAAGTAAAGAGGATATTTGCATGGGTTGGGAGCGGTGTAGCCTAACAAGTCGTCCACTAATTGGACGTTTCGATCTCTGGATCATCAGGGCCCGCATGAAATACATGAAATCCAGAATCCCTAATTGCCCTTCATGTTTCATCACCAGTAAAACAAAAAGAAAAAAGAAAAGAAAGAAAGAAAAAAAGGGTTATACATAATTTAAAAAGGCGATGTGTCAAAGCTACAATCCAAACACCAGTGGGGAGTCCACAGGAGGGATATAGGATGCAGGCCGCTTCCCGTTTAAGTGCAAAACTCATTAACATGATTGATAAAAGACATTAGCTGGAGCAGCACAGTGTGAATGTGTGTTTGTACTTTTCAGGTAATTATGCTTCCCCTGTTTTGACAGCGTAACATTCAAGTTTAATTCCTACTGTTCGTGTTTGTTTGACCTATAACGCTGTCATAGACACCTGCAAATCTGCAGAGAATCAAATTAATCAAAACACTCGGCAAACAAGATTAGTGGAATGACTAAAATTTGGAGACCAAGATCAAAGTGAGTTATTTAAACTGACACCTGATAGCTAAAAAAATACATTTTTTAGCATAAACAGTAATCAGCCTTAGTTTTTCTGCTAATTTTAGGTCTGAGTGATTTCTATTAATGTAATGCTTCAAATCCTACCTATCAGGGCCACATGGTATTGTCTTATACCACAAAAGGCTTCTGCATAAAGCAGCACTTTGCACACCTACTGTTATTTCTTTGTTTCTAATGGACTTGATTTAAGCAATATGACAATGAACCCCAGTGAAAAAGGCTCATAATTTTACAGCAACATTTCAGAGTGAAGATCTCACCAATAAATGTTGCTTAGGAAAAAAAAAATTTGATTAGAGTTGACAATTTTTGAATAATAAATTTTGAATAATAATTTTTGAGTAATAACCTAAATTTAGTGAGAATCACCTAAATTTTTGACTACAACAACAATTACAGTCCATTGTTGTTAACTCAATTCAGTCAGCTTTGTTTCTGCTTCTTTATTCTTCTTGTGTAACTTCTGTCCAACTCTTACATTGACTGTAAGAAGCAACATGAGGCTCAGAGTGAAGTTTTCCAGAGAAAACAGTGGAGCGCTGTTAAGCTTCTCAAATATCTTCAGTTGGAATCGTGGAGAGGGCCCAACTTCCCTCAGTCTGTGAAAGACCGTCACTTCGCAACAAGAACCATCTTAAACCTCTTCTCCACCGACATGGCAACTTCCCCAATCAGCCCCGGTGAGTTTTGTTTTGCATTTTCAGATCCCGAGCAGTTCCTTCCTTTGTTTTTTTTTGGAACTACCTGATGCTTAGTAAAAGCCAGACCTAGGCTGGTTTTGCGAGCAAGTGATTTGATTGGCAGCAGACGACAATCTTTGATTGGCCCCAGGGGAGATTGATAATTCCATGGTCAAACCTTGAGGTAAAAAAAATTAAAAATCTCTGGAAACCTTTGGGGAACGCACCCGACTTGGCTGGAACCGAGCCAAATAGAGAGAGATTTGACAACTGCATCTTAACAAGCAGCATAAACATTATGCAACCTCTGCAGCGTTCAGATTTGCTTAAAGAAGACGTGTTGCTGCATCCTCCCCAGCAGGTAGACCTTTTCAGGCTGACTAGCAGATTGGCAGATGTGGGAGTGAGAGAGACAGATAGGCGGTCGGGGCCAGTGTCAGATTTAGTTTGTCCTGCTCGCTGTTCAGTGAGTTGACAGCAGGAGATGAAGACAAATACACGCCCAGAGAGACAGACGATCAATAGACAGACTTTCGTCGAGAGACGTGGAGGAGTGACAGATCCCGAGCTTCACCTGGGGTAACAAAAGCTCAACTTCTGCATGCTATTATTCTCTGAATGCCTTCCGATCCATTCAGCTGTCAAGCAGGCCTCACAACGCACGGAGTCACACTTCCAGCACTCGCGTGCAGACACACCCCGTTCGAGCGCACCGGTCCGCCGGTTGCCAGGCAACAGCGCACATCCCCCGATTGTTTACAAAGCCTTGTAATATAGTTCGTCTCGGAGGGGAGGGCGGGACACAGACGGACGATGCAATCAGCTCAGACGGCACGATAAAGAATGAGAAAGGAGGCTTGGAGGATGGTCCTCCATCCGCTCATGGACGTTAAAGTGCCGAGGCTATTGCTCCCATGTGAAGGACGGGCTTTGAGGGATGAAAGAAATGTTTTGTGATTTGACAGTGAGATGCCAAGGCAAACACGTCCTTTTTGATCTTACGTGCTGAATGGGAATGCCTGACAGCTTTTTGGTAGTGTTTTGATTAAGCTGAAAAGACAAGAAATCCTCTTTTCCTGTTTGGAGTGGCAAAGTCATATTGGTGTGGATTCATAATAGACTGAATACAAGGGTATTGTTGGAGGGGGGTGTCGATTTTCTATTGTCCATATAGAGGTTCACACATAATCAACCTTATTGGAAATGGCAGTTTCAGGTCAGGGCTTGGAACACTGGTTGTGGCAAAGAAGTTTCAACCATATGACCCAGACTGGCCACTCAAATGAATAAAATGAATGTAATAATGATCAGGAAGAAGCCTATTGCTGACTCAAACTCCAGTACGAATGTCCACAGTGAAGCAAGTTCCACTTTTATGTGGATTAACCCCTTACTGCCTGAATTTAAATCAAGCCATGTTTAGAAAAAAAAGTGTTTTTTCTGTTAATTTAATGCTGAGTTCATCAGAGACTGTTATTCTGACTTCTGCACACACAATTAGTGTAAATGTAGGTATGATGCAAATTAGCGACATTGAGCACAATGTGAAAAAAAAAACAGGTTTGGCAGCCTTTGAACTTAAATTCTTGCATTTTTCATGGAAGCAACACTCTTCACTGCGTTTCAAATACAGCTAACTCACTCTAAGCACAGTTCCAGAGGCTTTTATACCTTTACTCAATATAAAGAAAATAGTCTATTTTTGTATTTTTGTTTTGTAAATAATTACTGTGGTTTTCTGTGAAACATCTAAGTTAACACAGAAGAGCTATAAACTGTATCACTAATTTGTATGCCCAATAACCAAAAACAAACATACATGTCTATAGACATACAAGTCTAGTTACATCAAAGTACTCCACTGCTATTTAAGAAACGCCATAAAGATGGCAGGAAAGTTTCTTATGTCATCAACCCACCTTGAAGTAAAAAAAAAAAAAAAAAGACAATTTTGCAAATAAATCATTAAAAGCTTAAAATGACTGCAAGTGCCCCTGCGGTGCGTTTACTGCAAACATAAAGCATGTTCTTCGATGGAAACCGTTTCCCACGCTTCGCATTTACACTCACATGACCGTGTTGATTCCCGAAAGCTGCTGGAACATCTGAAGGCCGCATCCCACCGCTAGAGCTCGGCGAGTCGGGGGGTAGGTCAGCATCCGCCAGATCACAGGGCCATCTGGAGACACCAGCCAAAGCACAGCAGAAATTAATTACCGGCTCAGCTTGACCTCCACACAAGAAACGCTAAAATCCAATAAACATTCAAAACAAACTTCCCTCAATCGAGGAGAAAGCAGCAAGACCCTTGCTGCTGCATAACTGAAGATGGCAGAAACATAAGACCTGAAACAAAGAGTCAAACTGTTGGGCTTTTTAGGTTTTATCCTAAAACTCTACATTTTATTTATGAAGTCATAATTCAGCAAGAAGTGCGATTTATTTAATTTACTTATTTAATTGCAACTTAGTTGCACACATTTGTGTACGTTAATACTTTGTGGGTGTGGAATTACAATGTACTTCATATGGAATGCCAAAAATGTCAGAAATTTTGAGATTAATCAAGAACATTTTTGAGAAAAAAAACGGAAGAGTTCAAAAAGTCTAAAATTTGCAAGAAAAAACTGAAAGATTTGAGATTGCGGATTGTGGATTTGACATATAACGTGGAAATGTCAAGTTTTAACTTTTGCATCTCAGAAATGTCCTTTTTTTTCTTCAATAAAATGTCTCAAATAAATCTCAAAATTTCTGAGTGGTTTCTAGTACAATTTTGACTTTTCTAAGTAATTTCTGAGTTTTTTTATGAAATTTCTGTCAATCTCAAAATTTGAGTTTTTCCTCAAAATTTTTCAACTATTGAAACTCAAAAATTCCCAAGTTTTCTGAGATTAATCTCAAAGTTTGACAGTTTCCTCTCACATTTTCAAACCCAGAAATCAACATGTTTTTGAAAGTTTCTTCTAGGAAATTTCTCAGATTTAATCTCAAAATCCTGAGTTTTTTTCTCGCAGAGTTTCGACTTTACAAACAGAGACGTCCACACTTTTCCGAAAAATTTCCGAAAACGTTTTCAAAATTTCTAAGATTTTTGGCAGAAATTCACTCCTTCTCTCTTTTTTTTTCTATCTATAATCTATAATGGCCACCGTCAATCATAAAGATTGCTGAACGTTCCACATGGAATCTGCCTGAGGCTTTTCCAGCCTTTCTGAAACCATTCCTAAGTGGGAACGTTTATCTCTGGGGAATTAGCTCCCATCGTTCCATTTCAGATGCCGGACTATCTCAGTGTGGGAAGAAAAGAAATATTATCTTCTTAGGCCAAAAAGCGTCTTAAATTGGCACGACAGCGGAGCCACGCTGTGTTCTCCAGCACAGGCAGACAACTGCTGCCTCCAGGAGGAAACGTCTTAATAAGAAGAGGGAGCGACTGGACAGACACTGAAACTACACACACTTACAGGAGGGAACACCCATGTAGAGCTAAAGAGTAAAAACTTTCATATTAATGCATAAATACGAACATAGGACATGAGACACATGCTGGTTATTTGGGAGCAGCTGCGAGTGGGAGGACTCTGGACAGGAAAACATGTCCTTTAACTGTTTGACAAGCGGACCAGGCTGTGTAAAGGACGCCCCTGCTGACACACAACACAGTCCTCCTTTTCTTGGCCGCCTGTCCCATTTCTTTCAGGACATTAGTTTTTATTTTGTGTCGCAAAGGTGCCACTTTTGTAACAGCAAAAGAAATTAGTAGAGATGATAAAATGTCTCATTTTGAGCTATAAAGTTGTTGGGTTTTTTTGTTTTGTTTTTTTTATCCATCTGCCTGGCCTTTCACACTTTAACTCATTTTAAAGTCCCAGAGTGACTCCATGTTCAAAAGCTCGTTTATATCACTTTCTGGACAGTGTGCGTGATGCTCCTGTTTTTGAAAAAAAGACAGTTATTTTTTATGGGGGGAGGATGAGAAGGTTTATCACACAATGCAAAATTTATCATCTGTAACTGAGTAGAAAAATAAGCATATGTTCTGATAAGAGTATGAAATCATCGTATGAAATTCTAGCAACTTTGTTAAAAATGCTAGAAACATTGCTTTAGCTGCATATCCATCCTATAAAAACCAATGATGAAAACTGCATTATCATTAATGCATTTTAGGCAATAAAATGTTTACTTTTTAAAAAGTAATGTATTTGTTTATTTGCATCCTTTAATGGATTTCTAAGAAAAAGTTTTAAGTGGTTAGCTGAAAAAAATCCGGCTAATCGTCAGAATAACTGAGACAAAACGGCTCACTAAAAGCCCGGAAGAGACACTGACGCCCGCGGTGACGATCTCCAGATGTTTCTTTTATAACAAAAACTCTCCTCTACCAATGAAAAGAAAACGCCCAGCGATTCCCACGGCATTAACCCGGTAAAGTTTGATCGGTCGATCCCGAAGGACCGGAGCCGAGGGGCCGTTATCCGATTACCTGGCAGGGAATCAGATTTATGGACCGGAGTGAACTGAGGGGACAGCTTGAAATCCACACGAGGAGAAGTAACTCCACCAGTCGCACACTCACTGAGCAATTATAGAATATTAGGTGTCATTTCTCTTTTCCCGTCTTTCCCCCTAACGAGATCTACGAAGCGGCACGAGGGGTTAAAGCAGCATCCCAAACCCACATGCTGAAACAATCGCAGCTCCATTTCCTCAGATGAGCGCCACCCAGCACTAATTTAATCAGACAACATACTGGAAGGGAGAAAAAAAAACAACAAAAACATAGAAAAAAATTTTTTAAAAAAAAGAAGAAAAAGAAAAAGGATGAAAAACAAACCAGCAGGCAACCAGTCAGGCACAAGCGCAGTGATTGGGTCCCACAGTACTGCAGTAATTGCATGTACGTCTTCCACATTGAAACCTTTCAGCACCATCTGTGTCATTTGTGGCCGATCAATGCAGCAATTATCAACTATTTTACCTTAACGACGAGCGAGCAGAACTTGAGCTCCCTTCTTTAATGTAATGCAAGTCATACTTCCAGGAAAGTTAGAACGTACGCAGAGCTATGCTAAAATACGAGGTTGTTGTGATGATGAAATCCTGCAACCAGCTTTATTTGACGAGACAATGTCGCGATAAATCAGTTAATTGCACCATAAATTAAAATGAGCTCAATAATTTCCACGCCTGGTTTTCTCGTACGTCTCTTTCTACTAAAAACTGGATGAAAAAAAATTTCCTTTTTTTTGAAGGATAATTTTGTTTACAGAGGCTTTAGTTCCCGTTTTATTTGCTGTTTATCTTGTTTTGTTGGTTTCTTTTGGACATTTAATATGCCTTGCACTTTTTGTGTTATACGTTTGTAAGAAATTAATGTTTACTGATTATATTACTAGAATATTGTCTCAAAACAACAACATTATCGTTTATCGCAATAAGGTTTGGGACAATTGATTATCCAGCAAAATTTCTTATTGTGGCAGGCCTGTTCCAGTAGTGTCCAAATAAAAAACTAATCAGTTTTTTTAATGAAAATTGGCAACAAAAAATAAATAACCTGGTTGCATATCTGTGAACAATTAATTTAATACATTATGACAACAAATAAGAAATGACATTTACCAGTAATAAAATAAAACTTTTCTTGGAGGAGTTTCTTGAAAATTACATCCTGAATCTAAGGCTGCGGTTAGCAAACAAGCTGCAAAGGATCATTGATTACTGTTCAAATGTATCAGTCAGGGGAAGGGTACTCAAATAAAAACCTCCCACTACATTGTTTACAGGTGTAATCTTACTGCCTTTTTTATTTTTTCTTCCAAAATTGATCCCAAAAAAAAATCTGATTAGGTGTTTAGATTAAAAGTTGACCTTTTTTACTTAATTTAAATTCAAAACAAACTGAAAACTCTGTAAAATATGGCAGTGGTGGCATCATGCTGTTTTTTTTTTTTTTTTGCTTGTTGTTTTTTATGAAGTGGGTGAAATTGAGAATAGTTTCAAAATTTTGACCTACAAGTGTCTGCTAGCAGAAAGAGATTGGGTGTTTTCCTTGGAAACACCTAATCCCTTTTCATCCCCAAAACTTTGTCGGCAATTAATTCTTGGCGTTGTCAAATGTTTCGTTTAACTCATGAACCCAATGCTGTGCAGGAACAAACCTGCACGATGGGACAGAGGCAGAATGCAAAGCAGCAAGAACACTGCCGAAATTCATAAACACTGAATCCAACGGCCATTTGAAAATCCTGGGTAAATCGGGGAAATTTGGGTCAATCCACGGATCAATGCGTGGTCCAAAGTATCAGCGCAGTATCACAGGAAATTGAACAATGTCCAATCAAGAGGCCCAGAAACAGGCTTCTCCCGTCCGGCCCAATCATGACGTCCTGGCGGTGCGGGGGCTCGGAAAGCGACTCCACTTAGAGAGGGGGCTGCAATCAGGGACCAAGTCTCTGCAATCTTCCACCTTGGCCCATCGAGTCGGCAATAATTATTCCTTCCACATACCGCATTTCTCCAGCGCTCCTGCTCTTCTTCTGCACTCCCTCATCAGAGTAAGATTACGACATTGGGCACTCCATGCCGTCAAGATCAGAACACAATGTTAGGACTGATGGGGAATAGAAATTAGATCCAGCACTGTTGTCTGTGGAGCTGCTGAAGAAGCTAAATAATGCAGAGATTTGGTTGTTTTAACCAGGAATCAGCACTAGGTTAAGCTAACATCTTTTGTGCATTGGGTTCAATTGTGAAAATTGCGCTGGGATGAGGTGGATTTTCAGCCAGATGGAAATTGGGAGTATTTCACAAAACTGCACGGGAAACTTTTTTCGCATCACATGAGTCGCATTGATCAATAACTGGATGTGGCTATTGGCAGAAACGACTAAGAAGACGACAGTAAGTGTTTGGAGGATGGTGACGCGGCACATATTTTAATAATTTATCGCACGAACAAACTTATTCACATGATTTCAAATGTGCTTCTTAATTAATAGAAACGCCACAGTTGCAAGACTGTGTTTTTGCAGCTGTGGTATAGCGACAGGATTTTGCATGCATTCATAATGGAACGCAGCCGGTGTAATTTAAATAAATATGAAATAAAGATCCTAAAATGTGTTGTTCAGCATAATTAAAGTCAAGAAAGAAATGTTAGGAAGAAGTCTA